AATTCCACTGCGCAATAACTCGTGTTTTAATGTCAATTTTAAACACGTTTTTGATTTTCAAAACTAATACTGTATTCAGAGGCGTAGCGAGGGAGGTGCAAGGGGGGGCAGATGTCCCCGGGCCCCAGGTAGTTAGGAGCGCCAAAATGTGCTTTGATGTTATTTTATTGATACAAATAATGGGTTTGAGAGTTGAAAAAAAGAAAAAGGGGCGCTTTAAAATGAATCTTGTCCCCGGGCGCGAATCTTGACATCTGGCGCCAAACCCCCTCGCTACGCCACTGGCTGTATTAAAGAGTAATTTTAATGATTCTAATTAACTTTTTATGCATTTTTGATAAATTGTAACTTATTTCACTATACTCTATATGCATATCAGTAAATTTAAATAATGTATATTTTATTAATGTATTGCTTTTCTGTTTACTAGTGTTTACCAAGTCTACGTCGTCCACTATACTGATATATAAGCCTGATATATAGTCTATATACGGCAACTCATCCTCTTATTAAATACTGTTTAGCAATTGCTTATTTTGATCGTTCAACTTTGGCATATGACTAATTAAGTCAAGCTTTTCATGCAAAACAAATATATAAATAAAAATTAACCTTTTATGTATGAGTTTTTTCTCTTGTATTCAACACTTCTTCAGTTCTCGACAGCTCTGGAACAGTTATTCCAATTAATAATGCCCTCTTATAAACACGGTCCAGTAAAACTTTAACACAAAGATCAGAGGAGTTCATGTTACATGTTCCTCCAGTCACATGAGTGCTGTTATAAGCCAATGAGCTTGTCTGTCGGAGTTCGGCTTGACCAAACGTACCATGTTCAAACTAGTTCCACTTCTAGGGACGTCTTGTTTCAGTGTGGAGTGTGGTATCAGGAGATGTCAATCGAATGTAGAAAATCGTCTGTCCCTTTCAAATATCAGTTTGTGAAGTCCTCCGATGAAAATTTTAAATATCATAATATTAATAATTTATATTACAAAATAAAATATACCATAATATGAATTATTAATTATTCAATTAACTAATTATGATTAATAGATATAATTAATAGAGTGATTATAATATGTATACATTACTAAATAAAACCACATACATATTTAATTCGAAGCAAAAATCAAAACACTATTCGAATGAGCCGTCTCTTACTTCCATACATGTTATTTAGTCGATTCGAAACATTCATAATGACTTAAAATAAAATTACCAAAAAAAAAAAAATGTTTTTTTTTTCTGTAACTTTTTTTCGTGACTTTTCTCGTGTGAACTCTTTGACCCTCTCGCCATGCCTGAACTGCACAACCTGAGTCTAGTTCCAAGGGAACAAACTCAAAGATTACGTATTCGCTTTTATTATAAAAGTGTTTGTTCTCGAGCATCTGCCACCTATTTACTCCACCAGTGGAGATACTTAATACCAATACTGGTAACTTTGTTGGTTCAACAATAATACATTTAACATACAGGCCCTGTTTAAAATAATTGTGATAAAACCATGATTAGTGTCACACTCTGTATCTTTCATAATTGTACCTTCTACTTCTAGTTGTGTGTGTGGGGAGAGGGGTATTCATGTGTTTGGTTTAGGGGGAAAACTACATCTATCACTGATGGTATCAGCACCGAAATTAGGAATACTGACTCCAGCTGGTCATCCTCCCCAAAACTTCATGAACTAAAATTGATTTCCATTTGGAGCATATGGAATGTACTTTAGACCCCAGCTTAGTTTCACCCCTGGAATCTAAGACCTTATTGTCCAAGCATATATAAATAAATAACTTAACCCTTGTAACTTGCAAATGTCAAGCCATTCAGTACAAATTAATGCATGGCCAACCTATTTACTTTGTATGCTAAGACTAAGAGACCCAGTAAAAGTTTTTTTTCTTTTCTTTTCTTCATTGCACAAAAAAGATTTCCCTGGTATCTATATTCAACTGCAAAACATATTGAATGATATTGTAGCACAAGAAAATAAATTTAGAAAATTCTTTGGTTTTAAAAAAAATAATAAAAATGTATGTTAAAACCCCTTGCACTGTCAAAGTTTGTATCTTCTTTCAAACTTATTTTTTGGCTATGTATTATTTTTGGGTAGTCTCTACAGAAACACTGTTTCTTCTTAAAGCCAGTTTAATATGAAGACGGAATAGGAGTCTTGAAGTGGATTCTTGTCTAGATGTTTTCAAGTTAACCATAATGTCAAGTTAACCATCATGGTAAGTGGTATGGATTATTTTCTATTTATTAACCATTAAACAATGCTAGGATTTGATTGGTTGAGTCTGCTATTCATTGGATGCTTACATTTAGTCAATAAAAGGACTATCAACTATTTATATTTTATTGCTGCAATTAAAAGGTTTCAAAAATTATCCGTTTGACTCTTAGGATATGAAAACGTATTTAAAATTGTTATTTGTTAATTTATTATCTTCATCCATTAAATATTTTATATTCCTGATCATATGGTTTAAAGAGATATATTTTTCATTGAATTTTATTTTGGTAAAAGTAAAAAACAAATATGAATGAATATAAATTACCTGTAAACATTAGGCTAAATCATTAACTTCATGGGAACAATTTTATCACAAATGATTGAGACAAAATTAAAACATGATTTTTTCTTAATATTTGGTAGTAAGAACAACACACACTAACTGCAGAATAGCTCGACCAAACATTTAAAAAAAACTTTTCACAAATTTTTCTTTGCCTGGTTGGAATGTCAAAATGGCCAAGATTCCAATATCGTTTGTTCTGCTTTACAGAATCTCCTAACTACTGATCTACAGCACATCAGATGTCTTCTGGTTTGTGCTATGGACAGAATAAAAACATATACATGGCTTTTTTGCTTCTTTCCTCAAGAAAGTCATGATTTCAAAAAGCTGTTGATCACTCATACTTTCTCTAAACGAGGGGACTCTCACCTTTCACTGGTTCGATCAGCTGGTTATAATAAAAGAAGATTAGATTCTAGAGCCCGACAACTATAGGGACAACCTCAGCTGACATGGCAAAGTTCTTGTTTTCGGTCAGGATTGGTCCAGCTCTTGATTTCAAAGCTGACGTCCAGACATTTGTAAAAACAGCAAAGACATTTAAAAGAAGTAACGCCAAAAGAACTTCTTATCAATTCTGAGAGACTTCAGTAGAAGTTACCATTCTGACCCAACCTCTTATTGTCTCCTTAAAAAGGAAACTGACTGGGACAATTTTAAACCAACTATTTTGGAGTCAAAAACTGTGTTACCAATGCTAAACTAAAGACGCCCTTCGTCTCCTCAGTGCTGTGGGTGCCGATGACAGAAGCATGTCTATGTACAAAACAAAACACTACTCCACAATTCTGTTGAAGATGCTGCACACTGCGAATCAGACACTTCATAATTTTCTATTTCTGTGTGCTTATCAATTTAAATAAAAGGATTTGTGAATTGGACTTCCTTTTTGTTGTTTTTTTTTTACCTTGTTTAGAATTCAAATTTATAACAACTGATCATGAAAACCAGGGGACTTTCCAGCATTAATTATACTGTTCTGTTGAAATACATATCAAGCAAACACATTATTCAAACACAATTATATAATATATTTTATAAAATATAATTTAATTTTGGCATGAAGGTGGTTTGTAATGTATAAACAAACTGAACTATTTGGGCACTGGGAATGATATTCTATCAAAATGAACCTACAGTATTTTGTTGTTTTGGAACAAGATAAAAAAAAAATGAAACAAAGTAAATAAATACATTTTAATTAACATAACATTTTAATGTTCAGCTTAGTCTAACTTATATTTTGACTATACCGGTATACTTAAATTAGCTCTCAGTTTTCCATAATGTTTACAAAAATTTGAGTCATCTTTGTGTAGGAGAAAAAAGTTGAATATCTCAAAAGCCCAAAAAACAAAACACAGCATTTTGATAATCAGCTCTTATTTATACGTAGTAAGTAACGAGTATGGGAAGCTCTTATATATACGTAGTAAGTAACGAGTATGGGAAGCTCTTATATATACGTAGTAAGTAACGAGTATGGGAAGCTCTTATATATACGTAGTAAGTAACGAGTATGGGAAGCTCTTATATATACGTAGTAAGTAACGAGTATGGGAAGCTCTTATATATACGTAGTAAGTAACGAGTATGGGAAGCTCTTATATATACGTAGTAAGTAACGAGTATGGGAAGCTCTTATATATACGTAGTAAGTAACGATTATGGGAAGCTCTTATATATACGTAGTTAGTAACGAGTATGGGAAGCTCTTATATATACGTAGTAAGTAACGAGTATGGGAAGCTCTTATATATACGTAGTAAGTAACGATTTTTAAAAAACGTTTTTCGTTCAATTTTTTTCCCTATGGCTTTTTTTTTCCCTATGGCTTTTTTTTTCCTAGCAAAACTTGCGACTTTGTTTTGATGACATTTTTCCTGGCACTTTTTTTTTCCTCCCCGCATTGGTTTGTTCATCTCTGACACGCCATATCGTTTGAGCTGTCAAATCATTGGTCACACTTAAATCTTTCATTGTCCTCTAGCAAATTTCAACTTGGAATACAGTACATCAGCTTTATAATGGCGTTGGATAATGCATGCTTTTTTTTTTTTACAAAAAAAACCCTTAAGTTTCAGAATTCAATGAAAACATTTTATTATTTGTTGAGCACAGTTTATTTTTCTAAACGTTAAGTTTAATTTTATGTTGAAGAGTTTCACACCGCACAGCTGGCCGTTCACAAGTCATCGTCATCCCGGCCATTTGTATGTCATTAAATTTAAAATTAACCCAACAAGAATGCTTTCCTGACTCAGCTAAAAATATTTTATTTTTATATTTATTTTATTATTTTTTAAAATTATTTTTAAATTTATTTTGAAGATCTCAAAACTTGTGAGGCATATTTGAATACCGCCTCCATACGACCAGCCCATAGACCCACTTTTCATTCAAAAAAAAACAATACAAACAATAATGACAAACTATGTAGCTTTTATTTTTTCACAGCAAACTCTGAGGCCTGGTCCAAACAATCTTGGAGATCTCTCACAGCTTCCACCGCCCCCACGGACGTCCGACGGAGCAACGGCCCGTTCATCCCTTCTCTCCAGCTCATTCTCGCCGGACGACCGTCTCTCTTAGTCGTCTTGGTGACCGCTGTCCCGCTTGTCCACGTAGTTGACAATGTCTGAAAACTGAAGCGGAGCCTGGACGGCCTTCCTTTCAAAGACCTCCTTAAATTTCTGCCACTTTTCCTTAACGACATCGACCTTGTCCTCAATTTTATCCTTCAGCGTGTTGTAGCCGTCTTTGATTCTGTCCCCGACGCTGCCCGCCGCGTCCTTGACGGTGTCCCAGGTGTCTGACCACCACCCACGTCTGACGAGGGTCAAAAGGGCGCGGTTTTTTCTGGACGCTCTCTTCAACCGCTCCAACTGCTGCTCGAGATTTGACCTCTGACCTGGGTCCGTGTCACCCCGCTTTTCGTCCGGTATAGCCAGGCCTTTTTTAAGGACGTCATCCTTGTTATATCTGTCATCGATCAAAGTACGACGTTGTTGTGGACTGGGTCTTTTTTGAAACAACTGTAACAATTTGAAGCAGACGTTTGAATTATTTATATTATTAGTATTCCACTTTCCTTTGTTTGTGTACATACAGGGTGGGCCAATAAAAGTGAGAACATAGTTATTTCAAAGTATAATTTAATTAATTATAATTCTTCATGGAATTTTTTTTTTTTTTTTGCAAAATATTTAGCTAATCAGAAATCATGTTCAATGTGTCCTCCTTGCTTCTCATCGACTTTAAGCTAGCATGGGTATATTTAAACTAAATTTGATGTGATTAAATCACATTTTACGAGATGTTCTCACTTTGATTGGCCCATCCTGTATATCTTCAAAGTGTTAGGTCCAGTTAAAAATAGTTCCCTATGTGTGTACATATATCTTCTTACTATTAGGTCCAGTTAAATATTTAAACTTTCCCCTTGTGTAAAAATTTAAACTTATTCTGGTTCTGGTAATGTTTCGTTGCTGCATCCATGTACTGGCATCTTTGCAACGGTTGGGAATACGATGTTGCCAATCTAACAGCTCCTAGCTAATGCCAGGGCAGCCTTGAAGCTTTCGACCGATGTCGAGTTCACAGTTTATGTTTAATTTGTGTATAGGTTGAAGGAGGAATTCGAATCATTTTCTAGGTTTTCAAATAAGCAAATAAGCAACATTGGAAATACATCTCTGCTCCTAACTATATGAAAAAAAAAGTTAGCTCTTGTAATAAATTTTACAATGAATTTTACACTTAAAAACAATTCTACGATCAATTTTAGAATTAAAATCAATTTAACACCAATGTTAAAATCAGTTTTACTAATTAAGCAGTGACGCAGCTAGGAGGTGCGAGGGGGGGGGTGGGTTGTGAACCGCACCGGGTGACACCAACCCTAGCTACACCACTGATGGTAGCTATTTATTTTGGTTTTGGTTTCATTTTCCTGTGTTTTCGAATAAAAAAATGGACCATGACTTTATCTAACAACGTCACATTGGCGTCGGTCGGTCGTCGAGCAAGAGTTCTTTATAACCCCCCCCCACACACACACTTTTTTCACGGCACACCTCCACACGGGGTAGATGCCGTGTATCCCCACCGAGTCTCACTGTCGCCAGACCGTGCGGAAGCACGCCGGGAACCTCCCCCCCTGGTCTGGGGGATGTCCATTCGATAGAAAACGCTGCGTTCGTGGTCCACTCTCCGTGGGTCAGGACGGCTTTGCTTCATCTCCGGGGGAAAGGTGTTGCGTTACCACCCCAACCGTCCAAGGAGTCTTTCGGTCAAGATGAAAGCTGGGACGAAACGGTCGCATAGGAGCGGCTTTCTCAGGGCCGCGTAGCTAAAATCATGGGTATGGGCTTTAACCGCCACCCAGACCTCATATCCATTAACGGCAACAAGTAATCGTGTTATTGCGTTACTCCCGTTTCGTTGGGAGGCATGCAAGTGGCTTAGGTTTTTAGCTTCGTGAGACTGGCCTCCCTACTAGACTGCCACGAAGAGGCACATCCCATGTGACAACACCAAGTCGCCACTGTGGTGTGGGTCCCTGACTTAGAGGCATTCAGTCCGATACCCCAAGATCTAAGAACATCAAGCTCTTCTCTTGTATTCTTACGAATCCTATTTTCTCTCATTATTTCGTAATAGTAAATTTGGTTCCTGTGACAATTTAAAGCATTGCTACATACAGCTGAATGATAAATAGTTTAGATTTTTTTTTTTTTTAAATAATTTTATTATGGTAGATGAAAAAACGATTCCTAGAAATTATTAAATAAGTTTTTCTTCTTCTTTTAAAAAAAAAAATAATTTTTACCTCATTGAGAGTGTCCACGGCTCGTTCGACGGTGCTGACAACTTGCTCGTCAATACCTTTTTTGAGTAGATCCTCTCCGGCAGTCTCCTGTTGGAGATCATCCCTCTTGGCAATCAACCCATCATTTGTGGGTGACCCTTGAACACCGGTGTACGCCCAGACGCAGAGTGCTGTGACCAAACAGACAGCCACCCTCATTGTTCCTATTCTTCGAACTATATTTATTAACAATATATAGGTCTTCAACAAGGAAACAGTTTGAAATTGGGAATAAATTGAAATAAAAACTAGAGTAGAATTAAAAGGGCGCTCCGTTGGAGTCCTCAAGTAAACCTACCCTAACCCTAACCTCTCACAACAAATGCGTGATGAACTAATTAAAAAAAAAAACAGCAAAATGTATGTTATCGTTCAGCTGATGATGAGGGAAATGTAGTCGGATACATTTTTTTTCGGAGGAATTGTAATCACAGAAAACAGGCCAACGTTTTTTTTAAAATGAGTCTATATTTATACGGGCAATAATAATATTCATATGTTCAAAGTTGTAGTATATTAATATAAATAAATAAATAAATATATATAATATATATATATATATATATATATATATATATATACATATATATTTATAGATGAAAAGAATAACTTTTCAGGTAAAGGAATTGTAGTCGTAATCGTGAAATTTATTTCATATTCGTTTAGTTCTGTGTCCCTAGTAGCAATCAAATGTTGGGGGAAACAGACGTGCCACTGACACGATTTGGGCCAATGGTTAACCAGGGCCTCCAACAGCTCATTCTGATAGTTAGCTTTGTTGTTGTAAGCATTGGTAACAGGGGTGTCCATGAAATACGTCAACATATAGGGGGGGGGGGTGGAAATGTTCGACAGTGTCTGACAAGGGGGAGGGAGGGGGTTTAGATTAGTTGACGTCAACAATCATGTTTTCCTTATTAAAATTTTAAGCTAAAAAAATGACTGGTTCTTACATTATTTTCAACAATTTAATGAGTGTAAATAGTCATATATGTTTTTAGGCTTTTAACACTATAAGAGTTATTTAATGTGTGTCTGTCTGTGTGCACTGTAGATGGCCGGTCGTAATGTTAGCACACTTTGTTAGTGCAAGGGAAGTCAAAAGTTGCCATCTCTTCAATTGTCCCTTTTCTCTAAATCCGCTGACTAGAATGATTAACACATCAATTTACACAGTGTTCAATTAAAAAAAAACAACAGCACCAACTAATCGGTGTTCAATAACAACTACACCAACTCAAAGACAGAGAGAGCTCATGGCAACTATTGCTCACACAGACAATGCTTCGATTTTAAGAGCTGAATGGTTAGATAAGGATGATGGTGACTTGTCAGGTATAATAGTTCCGCAAGATGAAAATGATAAATCAGCTACTATAGACTATGCCCATCAGGGACGTCATTTCAGGTTTTTTCAGGGGAAAGGAGTGGGGGCAAAACTAAACTTGGTCAGCTTGTTAAGTTTCTGGAGTTGCCACAGTACATGGCAATTTAAATAAAACCAGCAGAATGGGGGAGGGACAGGGGGGGGGAATTTGCCCCCCTCTACCCAAATGATGTCCCTGATGCCTATTGCTATTATAGAGCAACACCTCGCTACTCCATGGGAAGATAATAGCAGCTAGAAACTACAATATGATTACCAGCTATTCTGACAATAATCATATTTATACTTCCACAAAGAATTTTATTTAGTCGTTAACAAACTTATAGTTGATTCTGCATTATAAAATATAGTGTACAAACTTTTTAACTTGTTGATTAACAAACTAAAGATGTCATAAAAATTTTTCCTACAATTTTGTGTTATTAAAAATACCGAACATCAGCGCAAAGTAAAACGAATTTATAAATTTGTTTACATTATAATTCATTTTTATTTTTATTTTAATTCATTTTTAATTTATATATTTATTTATTTATTATTATTTTTTTTTTTGGTGGGGGGG